AATCATCTCATTTAAACTGCATTAACAATGTATAAGGTAGATATAGTCATCACCATCTTACAAATAAGGAACTGGCTCAACTACTCCAGGATCCTGGTGATCCAGGATCACCAACTAGTATGTAGCAATATTGAGTTTTAAGACCAGGTTAATAGGATTCCAAAATCTGGGGTCACTATAATATACAGGGTTTTCCTATAAATATTCCTTCAAAAATGAGGCAAGTAGGGACTTCCCTGGCAGTCCAGTGGTTAAGACTCTGTGCTTCCACTGCAGGTGGCACGGGTTCAATCCCTAGTCGGGGAACTAAGATCCCATATGCTGCACAGTGCAGCCAAAAAAAATGAGGTACGTAACCAAATCTTACTAACCTGTTAGACAAATACAGAAATAAACTCTGCTCTATAGGAAAATTAAGTATTCCTGACAAGTTGTGCAAAAAGAACACTTTGGTAAATTAAAAACCCTATTCTAAGTATACCAGGAAAACTCTGAGCTGAATCTTCTCATAAACCAAAATATCACCCCTTAATTTCTCTTTTTCTAAGTTTGTACTCTTGCATATAAATTTTTGCTGTAAACAAGATGGAGGTTAGTCTGAACCTCTCAGTGGATATTCCAGAGTAGACTATTCACGCATCTGGAGGGATGTCCTCTGAGGTCTAGGACTGTATTTGATCGGTGGGGGTTAAAAGGCAAAGGGGGCTGAAACCTAAATATACCTTATCTTTATTTAGATGAAATTTTAAAACCAAAATACTATTTTTTAAAACAACCTCTTGCTGGAGAGGGTGTGAGGAAAGGGAACCCTCTTGCACTGTTGGTGGGAATGTAAATTGATACAGCCACTATGGAGAACAGTATGGAGGTTCCTTAAAAAACGAAAAATAGAACTACCATATGACCCAGCAATCCCATTGCTGGGCATATACCCTGAGAAAACCATAATTCAAAAAGAGTCATGGGGCTTCCCTGGTGGCGCAGTGTTTGAGAGTCCGCCTGCCGATGCTAGGGGACACGGGTTCGTGCCCCGGTCCGGGAAGATCCCATGTGCCGCAGAGCGGCTGGGCCCGTGAGCCATGGCCGCTGAGCCTGCGCGTCCGGAGCCTGTGCTCCGCAACGGGAGAGGCCACAACAGTGAGAGGCCCACGTACCACAAAAAAACAAACAACAACAAAAAAAAGAGTCATGTACCACAATGTTCACTGCAGCACTATTTACAATAGCCAGGACATGAAAGTGTCCATCGACAGATGAATGGATAAAGAAGATGTGGCACACATATACAATGGAATATTACTCAGCCGTAAAAAGAAATGAAATTGAGTTATTTGTAGTGAGGTGGATGTACCTAGAGTCTATCATACAGAGTGAAGTAAGTCAGAAAGAGAAAAACAAATACCGTACACTAGCGCCCTTATATGGAATCTAAAAAAAACACTATGGATGAACCTAGTGGCAGGGCAGGAATAAAGATACAGATGTAGAGAACGGACTTGAGGACACAGGCTGGGAAGGGGAAGCTGGGACGAAGTGAGAGAGCAGCACTGACATATACACACTACCAAAATGTAAAATGGATGGCTAGTGGGAAGCTGCTCCATAGCACAGAGAGATCAGCTCGGTGCTTTGTGACGACCTAGAGGGGTGGGATAGGGGTGGTGGGAGGGAGGCTCAAGAGGGAGGCTCAAGAGGGAGGGGATAAGGGGATATATGTATACTTAGAGCTGATTCACTTTGTTGTACAAGAAACTAACATAATATTGTAAAGCAATTATACTACAATAAAGATATTAAAAAATAAACGACCTCTTTTTCAAAAAGCTTCTTTTGAGCTATCTTTTGGTCTAATACAGCCCCTTGCCCCCACCCCCCGACCAAAAGAGGGGAACAAACAGATAAATACATATCCATTGAGAAGTCTGATTCTCCTCAATAAAGAGTGATGGCACAAGTACATGAACAAAACCAAAAGTAACTACTGGGTTATGCTAGCGTCACTACGCTGCCTCTCCCACAAATAATAAATATTAGGATGTGAAACCTTCAAAAATTAAAGGACTGGGCTTCCCTGGTGGCGCAGTGGTTGAGAGTCCGCCTGCCGATGCAGGGGACATGGGTTTGTGCCCCAGTCCGGGAAGATCCCACATGCCGTGGAGCGGCTGGGCCTGTGAGCCATGGCTGCTGAGCCTGCGCGTCCAGAGCCTGTGCTCCGCAACGGGAGAGGCCACAACCGTGAGAGGCCCGCATACCGCAAAAAAAAAAAAAAAAAAAATTAAAGGACTAGTGGGAAATGGAACAGGCTAAGGCCAAAGCTAACTGTTTAAATGAGAGCCCCAAGCAAGGTGGAAATGGATGCCTTCCTGCACCGCTTAATCAAGATTGAATTTCTGTCAACAGGTTTCACTGAAAAAAAAAAAAAAAGGCACATGCGTCAACCACATTGCCCCACACAAATCAAGCTGCCAAGCAAGAGAATTGGCTTCACATTTCAAAATTATCTGAATCCACCGCAACTTCAGACTCTTGCAAAACTAGAAACATTCTGAGTGAAGAAATAGCTCTTCCTGACAAATAATCCTATGATAGACAGGTAAAGGTTTCTCCCATATGTTATGAACTAGTTAGGTTCCTTTTAAAACTGCTTATCAAGTGCCATCCATCACATCACGTGGCTAATTTTTGTTTCCAAAAAACAAAGATTGAAAAGATATATATAATCCTTTCCCTTAAGGAACTCACAGTAATTTTGACACAGGGTGATCTTTGCTGTGGAAGTGCAGAGAAGGGGAATAGATGAAGGAGGGTCAGAGAAGGCTTCCTGGTGGAAGTGATACATAAAAGATACAGATAGACCTGCAGAGTTCTACAGGCTAAAGATGAATATTGACTTTTTCTAGGGGAAGAAATAAATGGAAAGGGAAAACAAACAGGGGGAAGTACACAATTGAGGAAGATTGCAAAAGAAACAAAGTAACCTATTTCCACATTCATCTGAAATTAACCTCCAAGGGTCCCTGTCTCTCTTCACTATCAAACCAAAAATATCCAGCCATGACAAGCTCTGTAAATCAAAAGGTGCAGGTTCAGAGCGGGTGGAGGAAAGCTGTAAAAGGCTGCATTCTAAGTAAGGTTGAAAGAGACTAGCAGCTCCTGAGCAAAATGAAGACTTTGGTGTGATAAGTGATCTCAAGTACCTCACTATACAAGCTTGTGAACTGCGTATTGCCTAATTCTATTGGAGGAAAAATCATGAGTTAAATAAATGGTAATGTAATAGAATAAAAAGAGTAAGGCAAGATCTCATTAGAAGTGTAGTTAGTTAAAATGGTCCCATCCCAGGCAGTGCCATTTCCCCAGGGACACCCTCTCTTATTTTCACAAGGGATAAGAGATCCTGTTACACTACCACAAGTTAGAGTTGAGTTATTGTCATCTTAACCAGGGAGAAAACACCTACATTTCTTTTTCTTGTACATAAGGATTAGCAGGAGACAGTAAATGGCAACATAATACAGACAGCAATTTTAAATGTTCATCAAAGTCACAAACTAAGTCTGAAGGAAGTTAATGGACTTTGTGTTTCCACATTTGTTTGCTAACTTCTATGATGAAATCGGATCTATTTACAGAAACAGATCTATGAAGCTTGCAAAATTGGGTCATTTTAAAATCCAGTGACAATCTCTCACTGTCCAAGCACTTAGAAGTCAGCACAGGACACATGGACACTTGTTCTAATTCATCACTGTCCAGAAATCTCAAGCAAATACATTTTTCTACCATTTTCCTCCCAAACTTGTGAGTTTCTTATCACTGTTTTTGAAGGATTACAAATTCAGTTCCGCTTTTTTTATTCATCCACAGAACTCTACAAACCATAATCCACTCTTACATGACTAACAGGACCTGGATAGAAATCAAAGATGCCATTTACCTCTAGGCCAAATAACAACACAGATCTTTTTAATACCAAAGTTTTCTGATGTTCCAAAAGTAAGAAGCTGAAAGAGTTTGTAAGGGTTGACAGTGGGGCTACAGGAGGTCACAATCCTAGTCAAATCTCAATCATTCAGTCTTGTAGAGATTTATATCCCTCAAAAGGTATCTGATTTGGAAAGGAGACAGACAGAGACACACCCACATACACACACACCCTAAAAAAGTGATAATCAATGAGGTGGCAGGGAGTGAGGTAGACAATGAGAGGGTTGGAAGGTTTTTAACTATAAACCTTTTTATATTATTTTGATTTTTGCACCATTTGAATCTATATTTTAAAAATAAAAAATTGTGCCTGTGTGAACATACACTGCTGGTGGATGTGTAAATCAGCACAATTTTCCTATAAAGCAATTTGGTGCTACATACCAAAGTCTTAAAAATACACATTCTTTGGGACTTCCCTGGCAGTCCAGCGGTTAAGACTCCGCGCTTCCAATGCAGGGGGCACGGGTTCAATCCCTGGCTGGGGAACTAAGATCTCACATGTCACACGGCCATAAATAAATAAATTTTAAAAATTAAGAAAATAAAAATATGCATTCTAAAAAAAAAAATATATATATATATATATATATATATGCATTCTTTTTGACCAATGGTTCCACTGGGTAAAATACTATGGTAGAACGATATAATGGAATAATATATAGCCACTAAAATTATGTTATACAAAATTTTAATAAAATGAAAAAATTTTCATAACCTAATTATTAAATGAAAAAAAAATGAAGGTTATTAGAGTATGGTTTCTTAAAACCAAATATAGATACCCTCCAAAATTTGGAAAGAAATCTATCAAAATGCTAGCCATAGTTTATCTGAGAGGTAGGATATTGGGTGACATTATTTTCTTTTGCTTTTACATATTAAATAAATTTTCTTCCAAAATAAGTGTTACTTTCTAAAGATAAGCTAGTTATTTAAAGAATTTTGAAGCTAATATATTAATGTCCCCCTTATTCCTTTTTAATGTAATACTGTGGATACAGCTTTACCTGTGGTTTAATCGTCTGTCAGTCCACCTGTCTACAGGCTTGACTCAAAGTTGCAATATACTTTTTCACCTCTCCTGAAATCTTGAAGTCTAGAAAGTACTTCTTATCAAGAACCTGGAAGAAGCAGAAAGGTGATGAAACAGGTTCAAGTTCTTTGTAGTAAAAAAGGTTAACAGAGAACAGAAGGAGCTATAAAACCCCAACCCCCCAACCCGGGGTCCCCAACCCCCGGGCCACGTACCAGTACCAGTCCGCACAGCAGGAGGTGAGCGGCAGGCGAGCGATTGAAACTTCATTTGCCGCTCCCTGTCGCTTGCATTACCAACTGAACCATGCCCCCCACCCCCATCCAAACCCGTCCGTGGAAAAACTGTCTTCCACAAAACCAGGCACTGGTGCCAAAAAGGTTGGGGACCGCTGCTATAAAATACCAAGGATATCCACTCTTAAAACCAAAGAGTGCTTCTGAGAGCTAAGGTCTAAATAGCATGGATCCCCCCAAATGCCAGACTTCTTAAAAGATTGTTGTTTCATTAGTGTAAAAATGTTCTTCAAGTTTTTTAGTGTACATGTGCTGTTTCCCAGTATCTTTGTGGTTACATACTCTCACTTTAAAGCAACCTTTCTGAAACCTGCAACTTAGGAACACTGACATCAAGGGGTTGCAGTGCGCACTTCTATCCTATTCAAACATCAGGACAAAGAGTAGGCACACTCAAAATATGAAAAAACTTCTGCTACCCTTTTAAATTTAATAAAGTAGAAATAGGGATTTCCCTGGTGGTCTAGTGTGTAAGACTCCACGCTCCCAATGCAGGGGGCTGGGGTTTGGAACTAAATCCCGCATGTGTGCCACACCTAAGAAGTCCACATGCCACAACTAAGACCCAGCACAGCCAAAATAAATAAATAATAAATATTTTTTTAAAAACTTAGCTTTAAAAAAATTAATTAAAAAGTAGAAATAGCATTTTATAAAAATTTTCTAAAGTATGCTCCTACATACAATTTTATACCTTTCTCACTAATCTTTAATTTCCCCCTATAATCAAGTTTTTCTATGCAAACAAACAAAAACAGAACCCCTCCCAGTTATCTGTACTTTTTTCACAAAGTACCCTAGCTGCTGATCTGTCTCAGACACAGATCTATTCACAGAATTGATTGGCCTGTTCCCTGGTGGCGCAGTGGTTAAGGATTTGCCTGCCAATGCAGGGGACATGGGTTCGAGCCCTGTTCCAGGAAGATCCCACATGCCGTGGAGCAACTAAGCCCGAGCGCCACAACTACTGAGCCTGCACTCTAGAGCCCAGGAGCCACAACTATGGAAGCCCGTGCGCCTAGAGCCCGTGCCCTGCAACGAGAGAAGCCACCGCGATGAGAAGCCAGCGCACCGCAACGAAGAGTCATCCCCCGCTCTCCGGAACTAGAGAAAAGCCTGTGCGCAGCAACAAAGACCCAACGCAGACAAAAATAAATAAATAAATTTATAAAAAAAGAATTGATTGGCCTGTTCAATCTCCCTGTAGTAAATTCTGCTTCCTACCTTTACCCATATGGCAAAGAAAATTCAGTTTGCCAAAGGACATTTAAATCTCTCCTCCTCCTTTCTTCCCAAGCAATTCAAAAAGAATTAGGGGGCTTCCCTGGTGGTGCAGTGGTTGAGAATCTGCCTGCTAATGCAGGGGACACGGGTTCGAGCCCTGGTCTGGGAAGATCTCACATGCCACGGAGCAACTAGGCCCGTGAGCCACAACTACTGAGCCTGCACGTCTGGAGCCTGTGCTCCACAACAAGAGATGCCGTGACAGTGAGTGGCCCCCGCTCACCGCAAGTAAAGGAAGCCCTCGCACAGAAACGAAGACCCAACACACCCAAAAACAAAAATAAACCCAACCAAATATTAAAAAAAAAAAAAAAGAATTAGGGAAGAGACCCAGGAAAGGCTGAGGAAAAAATACATATAGGAAATAATATAGGTGGATTCTGAACCTCTCCTGATACCTGAACAAGAAATGAAGGACCTTCCCACATAATCCTGTCTCCTGTTGAAGCTTAATTGCAGCTGCAGGATAAACTAACTTTATTAAGGTTGGAATACACAGACTTAAATAAGGTGGGCCAAAATAACTATTTTCTTTAAATGATTTGAAAGTTTAAACAAATTTACCAATCTAATTCAATATATCCAGTTTTTCATACCTGAAATTTTGTAGTCAATTTAGATAATGCCTTCTTGTCTTTCCAATTCAACAGATATTGAATGGGTGATTTCCATGCACCAAGACTGTTCGGGTTCCTGTCTAACTAAACTCTCCTTATCAAGAACGGTTTCTGTCCCACCTGCTTCACAAAGCCACCCTTGCCTGTTTTAAGCCTCACTGATCTCCCTCACCTCTAAACTGCCAGGGCGCTTACAATACAAAACAATAGAGCACTCAGATGCTTTCTTGTCTTGTTCTAATTGTCACTTGTCAATTTGAATCAGACTTTTGGCCTCAAGCATACCAGAAACCATTCATCTGTATACACACAGTATCTAATACTGAGCACACAGTACAACCTCAAAGGTCAATTAGTTAGCTAAGTGAGCTGGGAGCCACAATAATTTTGATCCCAAGAGTGCCAACTTAATACTGAATTGACACACCCACAGTACAACTCCAAAACAACGTAAGTTTGATTTAGAGGTGGCTTGACAGGGGGTGATACACTGAGGCCACAACACAAAAATATCCTTAGTATTGCAGCAAACAGTTTGAATTTTGACATCTGATGAGTGAGACAAATTGAAAGGCCATAGAATGTCAAGACAAGGTAAGGCTGAACCAGGGAGAACTCCAAGTGATGGTCTTAAAGCAAAATCAGCAGAGCACTCAGATGCTGTCTTGTCCTAAGCAGGACTGATAGGGAGGAAGTCCTTGGTACCTAAGTACTAGGAAACTGTAGGTGAGAAAAAGAAACCATGTATCAAGAAACCAGGGAGAAAAACAATCCTACAATATTACAGCCTGGTTCACTTTTCCTTCCCTCTCCGATCTATAAGTGTTTTAGGACAGGAAATTAGAAAAGCAGTAATACCTAGTGATACCACACAAAGGGGGAGGGCTGGGCAGATAGGGATAAAACAGAATGAATTTTAAATCCCCAAATAGAAAGACAACTCCAAGTGGAATTAAACTTGTCCTCAATTATGTTCTCACCTCATTTACCTTTCTATCTTGCACAACAGTTTTGAAATGTAGTTGTTTGAGGCCACATCTTTTTCCTCCACCAAATGCCACACATCTTGAGGGCGGGTGGGGCTACTGTATCACCCATTTCGAGAAATGTATCTAGATTACGGGCTTCAGCTTCCCTCCTATAAAGGAGGGCTAAGACTGGCACCGACTTCACTGGATTGGGGCGAAAATTAAATGAGAAAACGCAGAGTGCTTGGTCCGGTAAACGCTTATTTCATGTGTGCTGGGTAATAATATAATTGTCGTTACCGTTATCCTTAGCCCACAGCCTCCCCCCACTCCTCCTTCCACCTATTTCCCACGCCGGCCTCCGCCTCTACCTGTAGACACAGCCCGCTAGTCCCGGTCCGGCCGGGGAAATCCTGTCATGAAGGGAAGGGTGGGCGGAAGCCCGGCTCCTGCTCTGCGGGTCAGGTCGGCGCCCCAGCAGCACACCGTCCCAGAAGCTGAGCCCTCGAGGAGGAGGAGACCTCCAGCCACTTGGAAATCAGGGAGAAGTCTGCCCGGCGCCCCAGCTGCTCGCCTTTTCTCCCCTCGGCTCACCTCGCCTCAGCGCTGACAACCGACCGCCAGGAAGACCCGCCGCGGGACTCATTCAGTACCGTTGAAAATTTGAACCCAGACTCTCCAGTCAAACGCACCAATCAGAGTGCCGGGAACCAGCTATCCCAGCCTTCCGATTGGCCCTAGAGATCGTAGGGAGGCCGGAAGTCAGGATGAGGGACAAGAAAACAACCGGCCCCGGAGACTCCTGGGAAATGTAGTGCGACTGCGTGAGCCGGCTGCAACAACTCGAAAGAGGAAATTACCACAAGGCCCAGAAAGGTCGGCTACACACTGTTTGGGAAAGGTGGTACTACCCACCGAAGAGAGAGGGAGTCTATTTAGGTAACAGGCGCGCGTCCTGAACTTCCCCAAAACTTTCACGGAAGGAAATTCTTCATTAGTTTATAATTCTCCCTGTAGTTGTGCATCGTGCCTTTGATTATTCTTAGGAATTCACTTCGTTTTAACATCGAGTCCCCTGCAAGCAACATAGTCTCGCCCCCAGATTCTCTGCCAATCGTGAAGGAGTCTCTCAAACTCTTTATCCAGTCCTCGCCCCAATATTACTGGCTAAAGCCGGCGGCTTTTTGGAGGTTTGGTCTTTCACTTTTAATGCCGTCTGCATCCTTGGCTCTATTACCCTCGTATTGTAGAAGAGAAAACAAATGCTCACGGAAGTTGAGTAAACTTATCTAAGATCACATTTTTTAAGTAGAGGAGATGGGATTTGAGTTAAGAACGTCTGATCCTATATATCATCAATAGTCAATTAGAAGATAATAGCAACAACAAGAACAAAAAGATCAACGTTCATAATAACGAAAAAGGCAACAAAGTTTTTAAAAATAAGCCTAAGACCTTTACGGGAAAATTTAAAACTTCGTTGAATAACTATAAAAATAATTAAATAAGCTATAGACCTTATTAATGGATGGGGAGATCTAATATTGTAAATTCTCCATATTAAAAGTTCAAGGCAATTCCGATGAAAATCGCAATAGGTTTTGTCATGGAATTTGCCAAGTTGATTTTAAAATTCACATGGAAGGAAAAAAGCACAAGAAGTGGCATCTGAATTTTGAAAAATAATAGGGGGCAATCGCCATAACAGATCTCACAAATATTAACATACTACGAAATTATAGTAATTTTAAAAGTATCGTCAGTTGAGTCTATGGGGATACAATCAGCAAAATCCAGACGAGAAAACTCTACAGGACAAAAGATCTAGTATCTTCAAAAAATAAATAGAAAACACAAAAACAAACAAACAAAAAAAAACAGCAAGAGTTGGGTCTTTTTGTTTGTCTTTGTTTTTCAATATTCCTTATTTTTAGAGATACACATGGAAATGATGAGGATGAAATGACTCTAGAATTTGCTTCAAAATAATCTGGAATATGCCAGAAAGGGAAGCAGATGGGAGTATAGATGAAACAAGATTCACCACAAATTGATAATTGCTAAAACTGAGTGACAGGTTCAATATACATATATACATACACATACATATATGCATTTGAAATTTTCCACAATTTTTTTAAGCAGGGTATTGGCATAGAAAATTTTTTTAACAACAAAAGATCAGTAGAAGAGTTTAAGGGTTCAGACACAGGCGCATGTATATCAGAATTTAGTAAATGCTGAGTAGAATTTCAAATCAGATGGAAACAAATAATGGAGTTAGGACATTTGCTTTTCATTTGGGGAAAATATTATGTTAGATTTTTATCCAACACCGTTTACAAAAACAAATTTCAGATGAATTAAAACCCTAAAGATATTTAAAAATTAAAAATTTTAGGGACTTCCCTGGTGGTCCAGTGGGTAGGACTCCACGCTCCCAATGCAGGGGGCCAGGGTTTCATCCCTGGTCAGGGAACTAGATCCCAAATGCATGCCGCGACTAAGGAACCTGCATGCCACAACTATGAGCCCACATGCCGCAAACGGGGGATCCCACATGCCACAATTGAGGATTCTGCATGCCACAATGAAGTTCCCGCGTGCCGCAACTAAGACCCAGTGCAGCCAAAATAAATAGACTTTTTTTAATTAAAATTTTTAAGTTAAAATATATGTTTATGACATCGGGTAGGAAAATTTTAAGTAAGACATAAGGGGAAAACTAAGACGTAAAGGAAAAGACTGACCAAACCAAAATTTTAAAATTCTGTTTGACAAAAGAAAAACAAACAAAACTGAAGGATAAAATATTTCCAACACATGTAACAAAGTATTAGAACCTAAAATGTAAACAACAACAACAACAACAAAAACTCTTAAGAATCAGTGAGAAAAGGACAAAAGCTCAATAGGGGGAAAAAATGGGGAAAATAGGCAATTCTTAGAAGAAGAAACAAAACTGGCCATTAAAGACATGAAAAGGTGCTTGGCCTCAGTAGTAATACTGAAATTAAATTTTAAACTTAATTTAAACAAAGAAGTACCATTTTTCACCTATCAAACTGACCAAAATTAAAAGTTTGATGGTATCAAAGATTTACAAGGTAACTCAGAAGGTTGGGGAAAAGGATGCGTTCAGCTGCTTTAAAGGGCAACTTGGCAACACATATTTAAAATGTCAAACGTGTGTGCCCTGTAACCTAGCACTTCTATTTCTAGGTTTAGTTCCAAGAGACACACTTATCAACTTTCCACGGAGAAACAGAGGCACAGTCACTGCAGCATTTACTGAGCACCTACAATGTGCCAGTCGCTGTGCTAAATGTGGGGATATAGCAGTGAAAAGACAGACAAAATCTCTGTCTTCAGGGAGCTGACATTCTAGTGGAGAAGACAGACACTAAACAAGGTGAATAAATAAATAAGTAAATAATATCTCATAATAAGAGATGATAAATGCAAAGCCATGACAAGAAGCGGAGGAAGGGAGGGCTGGACAGGGACAAAGGGAGGGCAGGGTCTGCCTAGGCTGTGGCTGCCCACCGACCTCAAGGTACGTGCAGGGCCACTGGTAGGGGTGGAGGTAAAGGTACTTGCTTTATATTAGGAGGGAAGGGGTATCAAAGCTGTGCTGTGTCCAGGGCCTGCTAGGCAGAAAGTGCTCAGTGAGTGAATGAGTGTATGAGGCAATGCCAGGAGGCCAGGATGTGTGCAAGATCTTCCCAAGTCCTTCCAGATTAACAAGAGGTAATAAGCCTGGCCCAAAAGATTCCTCTCTTGTCATTCCTTCTGCATCCATTGTAGTGTAGGCTGGGTCTCAAGTTCCCATTATTTACGAATGGGAGACTTTAAGGTCTGAAATCACCAAAGCAGAATTTTAGACCTGGAAGGAAGCGCAGACATATCTGGTAGACCCTATCCACAATTTTAGTCATTACTCTTTTGTTGATTTATTTTGTATATTTATTTATTTATTTTCTTTATTTTTTTTTTGGCTGTGTCGGGTCTCAGTTGCAGCATGCGGGATCTTTCGTTGCTGCGTGCGGACTTCTCTCTAGTTGTGGCGTGCGGGTCTTTCTCTCTTTAGTTGTGGCGAGCCAGCTCCAGAGCGCGTGGGCTCTGTAGTTTGTGGCATGCAGGCCCTCTCGTTGAGGAGCGCGAGCTCGGTAGTTGTGGCGGACGGGCTTAGTTGCCCCGTGGCATGTGGGATCCTAGTTTCCGGATCGGGGATCGAACCCACATCCCCTGCATTGGAAGGTGGATTCTTTACCACTGGACCACGAAGGAAGTCCCTCAGTCATTACTCTTTTGGCCTTATCCATGTGAAAGGGGTTTGCAATTATAAATAGGGTAGCTCAGGGATGTTTGAACAAAGACCTGAAGGAGGTGAAGGAGTAAGCCATGCAGATATCTGAAGGAAGAATGTTCCAGGCAGAGGGAACAGCAAGTGCAAAGGCAGGAGCAGAGAGGCATGTTTTAGAAATAGCTAGGAAGTCAGGGTGACTGGATCAAATGGACAAGGAGGAGAGTATCAGAAGATGAGGCCAGAGATATTCTGGGGCAGGATGCAGACCAACTGGGCCTTAGTAAGGAAGCTGATTTTTACTCTGAATGAGGTGGGAGTCCTGGGAGGGTTTTGAGCATTGATTTACTCTCTACTTTTAACAGGATAACTCTGGCTGCTGTGCTGAAAACAGGGGGAAGGGGAACAAGAGTGGAAATAGGGAAATCAATTAGTAGGCTGCTGCGTTGTAGTTGTGAAAAATTGGAAACCACCTAATGGTCCATTAGTAGAGGGGGGGTTGTTCAATAAACTGTCTATAGGATGGAATACTAAGCATCAGTTCAAAAAGAGTTTGGGGGCTTCCCTGGTGGTTGCGGTGGTTAAGAATCCGCCTGCCAATACAGGGGACACGTGTTCAAGCCCTGGTCCGGGAAGATCCCACATGCCATGAGCAACTAAGCCTGTGCACCACAGCTACCAAAGCCTGCGCGCCTAGAGCCCATGATCCACAACAAGAGAAGCCACCACAATGAGAAGCCCGCGCACCGCAACGAAGAGTAGCCCCCATTCACCGCAACTAGAGAAAAGCCTGCACACAGCAACGAAGAGCCAATGCAGCCAAAGATAAATAAATAAATTTTTTTAAAAAAACGAGTTTGATAGATCTGGACTGATATGGAGATAATGTTTGAGACACATTCTGGAGTTAAAACACAAAGTGCTGATTGATTATGGGTGGTTTTTTTTCATTATGAAACCATTATGGGTTTTTTTTTTCTGAACTTTAAGAACTATATTTTCTTACTGAAGTATAGTTGATCATAATGTTTTTTAAAAATATGCAAAACAGTGTACCACTTTTCCCATGGGTGTGATTAAGTATTAACAGCTAGCACTTACCTGGCACTTACCATAGGCCAGGCACTGTTTGGAGTACTGTGCACATAGTTAACTCATTTCATCCTGACAATAACCCTGTGAGGTAGGTAATGTTATATATCCATTTTATAGATTGAGGAAGTTGAGACTCAGAGTGGTTAGAAAACTTCTCCAAGGTCACATA